ACGTGTGCAGCTCATCCTGCATTTCCAGCAGTGCTTCAATCATGTACTCACGATCCCGGAATGGAGCATAGTAGGCTCGGTGGTTGATCCACCTGACAATGGCTTGTTCCATGGTCATCGAGGCAAAGGCCATGACTAGGACACAATAAGCAGCACAGGTCCTGTTAATGCCACCGTAGCAATGGACAAGCACACGAATTGGCCTCTTCTTGCCTCCACGCTTCCGACCACCTCCCTGAAGCTTCATCGCCTCCAACAAAGCAAGAGCATTACCGAGCTCACCAGGGAATGTCTCATCGGCCACCTTCAAGGCACTCTGCCTTCCATCGGCACTCTGCCTTCCATCAGCGGCTCTTCCGAACAGGCTGCCCATGTCACTTCCCTTGCTGAAGCCCTTGTCATAGGAGCAGCCATAGCCAAATGAGCCCTTCGTCGATGCCTTCTGGCTTTGCATGTGATTGGAAACCTGACAGGGGCCGCTGTAGCCCTTGCTGATTGTCTTGCCCTTGCCCCTGCCGCCATTGGCCTTGCCCATCATTTTGCCCTTGATGGCACTCTGCCTTTGACTCTGGCTGAACTCCTCTGCTGAGCGCTGCCAGCACATCATAATCTTTCTGAAATCTGAAATGAGGCGGCGCCAAATGGTCTTGAACTCATGACTTCTTTGTTCAGCATCAAAGTCATTGGCATGTGTTTGATCCCAGCCACCATACCGAAGATGTGCAGTGCCAAACGGTCCACAATTCGCCAAATACTGATACCAGTCCCATGGCTCAAAATTCCGAGGTCTGTCATCTGCATTCATAGAGATGACAATGTCAGGCTTGACCCGGAGCTGGTCATATCGGATCGGGCAACCAATACTGCCAACAAACAGTTGCCACTGGGGATGGTCGTAAATCAAAACATCATCCATGGGCCACGTCTCGACATCATGCTGGCATGGCCGAGGTGGCGGGATCGACCCAGGCAGCACATCTGTCTGGCCGGTCCATGCTTTGTACAACTTCATATCCATATCTCCGAAATCTGAGATGGCCTCAACTGCCAATTTGATTCGTTGATCCAATTGTGCAGCCCTTTGGATCTTTCGGAGCCCGGTGGTATAGTCGGCAGCTGATCTGCCACAGTGTAAACAATTCCACCGAAGTTGTTGCACGGCTTCGTTCCAGTAATCACTGCCAAGGTCAATGTGATTGGCCTGATTCTGATGGTCAGCAGCAGAAGTCTGGCACTCTGCCTCGGAACTCCCTGAGCACCTTGAAACGGTCGTCGGCATCACTGCTTTCATCGAGCACCCAATTGTCCAACGATTAAAACATTAACAGTGACTAATGCATCACTATACAGTACATTAACCAATGATATGTAACATTGTGTTACTACTGTTACATCAGTATGAATGAATCACTTGATTCCCTGGCCGGCAGATGTCGATCATGTATGGTGCAAGGCAACTCACTGACAGACTATGCAGGCAGGCAGGCAGGCAGCCAGCCTCGGAGACAGCAGGGTCCTGAGGACGTCACTGCCACCCGGCACTGTGTAGTCAGCATGTCATGCTGGGTAACCTTTTGAATCCAAGTTGCGCACACTACCGCTGAGGTCTCAAATCGGACAGTCTAGCTCTGCTGGCGAGATCGTCGAATTCAAAATCCTCTAAGCACACGCAAACCCGGCACTCTGCCTTCCCCAACATCCGTAATACGGTCTCGGAGGCTGTACAAACACGACAAATCATTGATTCAGTGACGACACAAATTCGTCTGACACATTGTAATGTAAAATTCCTGGCACTCTGCCTTGCCGCACAAATCTCGGAACGAGTACGCACAGGATCATGTCATTGATATGCCAGTCTACTTGCAAGACTTGCCCACGCTCTTCAGAATTCAGAAACATCCACAATGTCGAAAAGGACTCCTCTAGCAGCTCGTCGAAATAAATCACATAATCATCGTCGTCAAAACTGTCCGCGACCGAGCCCACAAACGAACCCCCAAACGCCGCAGTGCTTGCAAACTCGCCAACAGCCAATAAGTCCGAGACCGAGCCCAGAGACTCACTGTCACTCCACGACGTCGACGACATCTGCCGGCTTGCACGGAGGCCTACTACGACTTAGACTAGAGACAGAGCAGGTCGTCGGGATCACTGCTTTCATCGAGCACACTTCAATTGTCCAAAGATTAAAACATTAACAGTGACTAATGCATCACTATACAGTACATTAATCAATGATATGTAACATTGTGTTACTACTGTTACATCAGTATGAATGAATCACTTGATTCCCTGGCCGGCAGACAGATGTCGATCATGTATGGTGCAAGGCAACTCACTGACAGACTATGCAGGCAGGCAGGCAGGCAGCCAGCCTCGGAGACAGCAGGGTCCTGAGGACATCACTGCCACCCGGCACTGTGTAGTCAGCATGTCATGCTGGGTAACCGTTTTGAATCCAACTTGCGCACACTACCGCTGAGGTCTCAAATCGGACAGTCTAGCTCTGCTGGCGAGATCGTCGAATTCAAAATCCTCTAAACACACGCAAACCCGGCACTCTGCCTTCCCCAACATCCGTAATACGGTCTCGGAGGCTGTACAAACACGACAAATCATTGAAGCAGTAACGCCAGAAATTCGTCTGACACATTGTAATATAAAATTCCTGGCACTCTGCCTTGCCGAAAATCCCGCCGAAGTCTCGGAAAGAGTGTGAACATGATCTGCTCATTGACAGACCAGGCTACTTGCAAGACTTGCCCACGCTCTTGAGAATTCAGAAACATCCAGAATGTCGTAAAGCACTCCTCTAGCATCGTGTCGAACGGAATCACAGAATCATCGTCGTCAAAACTGTCCGCGACCGAGCCCGCAGTGCTTGCACCCTCATCGTCAACCAGAACCCAGTCCGAGCCCACAGACTCACTGTCACTCCACGACGTCGACGACATCTGCCGGCTTGCAGGGGGGCCTACTACGACTTAGACTTGAGACAGAGCAGCTGTAACACGACTATAGTAGATTACGCAGGGCAACAGCGAGCACAACTGCTGCAGCGGCAAGTTGCGATACATGACACGCTCACTGACTATGCAAGGCAGCTTGTCCTCTGCGATGGCAGCATGTCCTCAGGATCCTCGTCATGAGCCTCGGTGCCAGGACTGTACCATAATAATGGAAGTAGCTGAAGCAAGCTGATGCTGAGATCCCAGCAGTTGGCATCCACTTCTCGATGGGCTGGAAGCCGATGAAGACCGATGGGAGAGAAGGAAATGGAAGAGAAGGCGTTCACTAGGCTTGGATTCAAACCGAACACTTAGACCTGGCCAACGGTGTGGGGAGCAACCCCGATGGGGCAGGGACTTAAGTAAGGCAACCTCGAGAGGCTCGACTGGCACTCTGCCTCTGTCGATCCAAGTCGCAAGGCTCCCTAACTAACGTGACAAGCATGGATGGCCTCCCCTCCTGGTTGGGAGAAAAATAAAAAAGCCACAACCACTGGACCACCCCACCCGGCACTTTAGCCCATGTGCCCGGGTGTCATATGCCACTGCCCTGGCACGTTGGCCCCAAGGCGGTCCAGGTACCATCGACAACACCTGACACCCGGCCAACGGTGTCCACGAACCGAGATGGGCAGTCGATCCGTGTGGGTAAGGTGGCACTCTGCCTCTGTCGATCCAAGTCGCAAGGCTCCCTAACAAAACGTGACGACAAGCATGGATGGCCTCCCCTTCAAGGCTGTAAGCACGGCTGCGAACAACCCCTCAACCGCCCCACCCGGCACTTTAGCCCATTTGTCCGGGTGTCATATGCCACTGCCCTGGCACGTTGGCCCCAAGGCGGTCTAGATACAATCGCCTCATAACCTGACACCCGGCCAACGGTGCCCACGAACCGAGAAGGGCAGTCGATCCGTGTGGGTAAGGGCAAGATCTCAAGGCAAGTCAACATGTCACTACGGCCTCCCTTCTTTGTTCAATCACAACCCAAAACTATTTAAAAAGATTAAATTTTAAAAATTATTAACTTCAACAACAAATAAACAACAATTTTGTAGACATACAGCAGCAGGAAACCAGGTAGAACAACAGGAAGCCAATTGACTCACTCAGAAACAAAATTCACAAACATGTATTTTTTACACCAAAAATAAAATAAAAGAATTTTAACAACTGTAAAACACAAAAAAACCTATTTAAAAAACTTTTAAATACAAAACAATACTTTTAAATACAAAAAAACACTTTTAAACACAAATAAAGCCAACCACATACAAAAATGAGATTTTGGGTTCCTTTCATATAAGCCTTGTTGATCTAAACCCTGTGGTTCTGGTTCGGCGCAAAGGGTTAAGGATAGATGTGTCAGTGATCCCGTTTCCGGTTTCTGCGAAAGTAATCCCTTTATTAAACCCCTCCCTAATATAAAAACTCCCGGCCCCCGGAATTTCGCGATTTCGGGCCCACAATTGAAAGTCAATTAAAAACATTAGGGGGGGCTAGGATTGCATGACTTTTCATAGAGCCAAAGATTACAGCAGTACTAAAGACAGCAGAGCTTTAGGGTTTAAGGGTTTAGGGCTCAGGGCCAAAGCTTCAGGGCTTGGGGCTTTGGAGCTTAAAGTTTAGAACTCACGGCTTTAGGGGTTGGGGCTCGAGGTGACTGTGCTCACGAATTAATTCCTGTCAACCCCACTCATACGTGGATGCAGCGAACCGAAACCCCCCCTCATACAAAAACTAACTTCCGAAATCCAGTTTTAATTATTAGGGAGGGGGGCCCATTAATATTAGGGGGAAGGGATTGTATGACTTACATTCTGTACGGCTCTGAGTGAAATACTGTTTCAAATACCTGCTGATTGATTGCCTGACTGCTGCGCAGTTGCAGGTCTGTGCTGGGCTTGTATGAAGCGCCTCTTTCCATGACCATTGGCTTGTCTTGCATCAACAGTGAACATCATAAGTCTGTGTATGGCTATGGAAGCGTCGTCAACCGACTCTTTTCGCCTTCGGCCTCGAAACCACTCCATCTCCCTCCGCTCTTCGAAACCCCCGCACTGCCTCGAAGGGAGTCGTGCACACTTTGGAGCCACTGAGGCCCGACCAAACGTTGATGGCATTGTCCACCTTAGCTTGAACAACTGCGATGACCCTGCCCACATACCTAGCATCAGTCTCCCAGCAATCAAATCGTTCCAGCCTAACCGGATTCGTAATGCTGGAGCTGAAGAACAAGACGATGGAAAAAGGCCGCTGCTAAGGCAGCTAAGGAAACGCTAAGGAAACCCGAAAAGCCAGGAACCTGATACCTTGCCCCAGCGACATCACTGACGGCCGCCTCCGACGAAACACTGGACGAAGTCGAATGCAAACCTTCTGAGCTCCATGCTCGCATGCGCGGCGCCAGCACTGCTGTCAGAAAGTGCCTGCCATCGGGGGCCCACCTCAGCAAGACGTCCGTGAGTTCTACTCACTTGCATTTCCTCTATCCGGCACAGTACGGGGTCGACCACATCCTGAATCTGTGTCGCTGCATTGGCTTCCAGTTTGTCTTTTCGAGCTGTTTGATCAAGTTCGCTTCCTCAGCTTGCACATGTCCACCCAGGCCAAAGCCTCGCTGCAGCAGACACGTACAAACCATGCCAATACTCAAACCTAGTAAGGTTCGTGCAACTAGTCAGCCAGACGATGCGCCATCAGAGGTTTTAACAGGCCAGGCAAGTAAGAAACCTTGGTCATAATCTTCTGGGCGTCAGCAAGACTATGAGCCCTCGGGATCCCCACTCGGCTGACACCGTGCAGTTGGCGGTGCAACTCGCGACGTGCACGTAATCGTCCTCGTCACGACCTGGCGTGAAACTGCTGGGTCCCTGAATTTCGGGTAGTCTTTCGGCTGTGGATATTCTCGACTTCCCAAACGTGAAAAAAGTCTAGAATGACTCAACGAACTCTCCCCGAAGAATTCCTTGATGATTCGGAGTCGTGAGCTGGCGAAGCACTGCAGCTCAGTCGACCAAGCTCCCAGCCGAAGAAGTCGACGCCACCGGCCTCAGTACAAGGTTGAAGAATTCGAGGTTTCGGGCTTAGTGGAGACAGCTTTGAGGCCTCTCTGTCTTGCTGATACTAGTCTTGCGATTCCGTTCCCTTTAGCACAGTCATGGCATCGTCGTTTAGTTTTGAAGGCCACTTGGGGCAATACGGGGGCCTGAGCAAGCAGAACAGGATAGAATTCGGTCTTGGGGAATATTGTACTATGTTTGAATTTGTGACCAGGAATCACCAGAAACCTACAGTTATAATAAGAAGCCCTGATTCGAACTATCAGCATTTTTCCCCCCAGCCTCTCTCCCGCGCCGCTGGTCTTGTCATGCTGATAGTCTAGGGCTTTAATGAACTGTTTGGGAGCATCCTGGTATCATCATAATGCTTGGGGGGTCTATACCAGTATACCTACACTATCTTCAGGCTGCAAGACTGCAAAAACTTAGTCTTCAGGATTCTAGGCCGAGGAGCTGGAATTGGGGGAGCTTGTGGGTCCTCTGAAGCTTGTCCAGAAGTAGGGTTTAGGATTCAGGGCTTAGGGCCCTTAGATTTTGCTGTTCAGGGTTGCGGGGTTAGGCTTGAGCGATCTCCGGATGGTCTGTTCCCCGTGCGACATGCATGCCTCACATCAGACCGCCAAGATACCGGCAAGCCTGACCCCCTACGATCATCTCAAGAAAAGCGACAACGGCCCCTAAGACCTATCAGCCCCATACCCGAAATCTCATAATTCAGCGACAGAAAACAGTCGCTGGAGATGTCATAGACCACCACTGCAAGCTTCAATCTTGTAAGTCATGGAGACCCAGGAAGCCCTGATTTCCACAGCCTGCATGCAATATGCCGTCGGCCTTGTCGAAACAGCCGAGTTTCTACAAAAATGCTATGCCAAAACCGGAAACCCCATTAGCGCTAGGGTACGAACAAATCGGGATCAAACCCTAGCCCCAACAACCCCGACATAACTTCCCGACCCCCCCCCCACAAACCCAGAATCAAGCACTCTTAGTCCCCATAAAACTCACCACAACCCTAAACCCTAAACCCTAAACCCCCATCTAAACCCTAATCCCTGAACCCCCATCGAAACCCTACTCCCTGAACCCTATAAGCCCTACTCCATGGTAACACCCAGCACAAAGCGCCTCGACCCCTCCGAGCCCACGGCCAGGTTCCCAAAGCCCGCGAGGCAGACCAAGGAGCCGAAGGAGTTGTAGCGGATCGTGTTCCGGTGCGCCTCGGGGTTTAGGGCTTACAGGGCTTGTAGGGCTTACAGGGCTTGTAGGGCTTATAGGGCTTATAGGGCTGATAGGGGTTTAGGGTGTATAGGGCTTATAGGGCTTTTGGGGGTTTGGGGCTTAGGGGTTGGGGTTCAGGGTGTAGGATTTCAGGCTAGGAGTGCCTGATTTAGAGATTAAGCTGTAGGGTTTTTGGTTTAGAAGTTTGGGGGTTCGGGCTCAGGAGTTCTCTTCGTTTGCTATGCTGTTTCAGGGCAATGTGTTCTCCTCCTGGCGGCCTCTTCCTTGGATTTGATGGGGAGTCAGGTTCACAGATCTGGAATTTACGGATCTTGTTGTTCTTTGCATTGCTTCTGTAAGGCATGTGGCTTTGACTCGTGATGTGTAGGGTATATAGTGGGCTTAGGTGCGGGCTCAGGAGTTGAGTGTAATTATGGGGTTTGGGTTTTACAAGTACGAAAATTGGGCCAAAACCCCAAGCCCACAACCCTAATTAAATCCGACAATCCCCAAAACTACGAATAGTGCAGGGGCCTAAATAACTTGAAAAGGGTACTGGGGTATATTGTATCACACTTTTAAGGGAACCTACGTCATGATAATGGTCGAGTCATTCTTCTGACCCCAATAGCCTGGGGTTTCACAGTCTAGGTTTGGAGCTCTAGGTTCGGAGTTTAGATTCAATGCGGACTTCCTTCTTGGCACAGGTTTTCTAAGGGGGTATAGTATAGATTTGTAGAAATACGATTCAGGTCCCTATGTTTGGGCGTTTCGGGTTTAAAATCCATATAAGGTCCAGGCTAAAGACATCTTTTCGGGCCTTGCGGGCGTTTTGTCTGCAGGCTTATAGGGCTGGGGATCGATACGGATCATTGCTGTGTTGCAGCGCTATATGGGAGTTCCCAAAAATGGAAGACTCTCATATAGTTCCCCAAAGTGTAGGCTCCTTGTTATAAGCAGCCCAAAATAAGGCACCTGAAATTCTGGATTTAGGGCCACTACAAAGCGCACGAACTAGGGTGCTTCGCAGTTGGCTTCACATATACTATACATTTTGGGGTGAGGTGGGGTTGTCTTTGCTGCGGCTTCCCCTTGTGCGAATCTTTCGGAACAGATATCTTCCACGACATAATCATTACACTTTGGGATATGTGGCACTGGAGCTGCAAAAGAGGCGAGGCCTTGTCGAGCAACGTTTTCTTCGAGGACACCTTCTTGGCCCTGCGTGAGACGGGCCTACACCAAAAGCCCTAAACCAGAAAAGACGAAACTAAGCATCCTGATCACCCCCGCACAACCAGGCCATGAGAGATAAGATTGAAGCCTCAGCCTGATGAATTCCTCAAACACAGAGACAGACAGACACCCGCAGACGGACAGGCCAACAGAAAGACAGACAACCAGCCAGGCAGGAGAGACAGACAAAGAGAAAGACATAGACAGACACGAGAGACGTTGAGAGGCACAGGGCGCGAGAGAGACATAGAGACAGAGAGAGACATAGAGACCGAGAGAGAGTGACAGAGAGAGAGAGAGAGGGACATAGAGATAGAGACAGACAGACGGACAGACAGAGAGACAGACAGACGGAGGGACGGAGAGACAGAAGAGAGGAGCGACAGAACACATACGCAGAAAATTTCATTACCCACTCCAAACCGTAGATTTTGCTAAATTCATGATGCCTACTTTCATGGATCTTGCATAGCAGAGCTTTCCCTACGGCGCACTTCTCGTCCCAGACGTACAGCGTAGCTTTCGCTGGCTGGAAGCCTGTCCGGTCAGATGTTCCATGGCAGCATGTGATCATGCAGGGTTCAAAATGCAATGCTTCGGTCATGAGTCATGGGAGAAGATGCAGCACACTTGTCGTGGATGAAAGACAGAGCGAGGTGAGCTTATCCGCCGAGGCTTCGGCGGTTAGATCTAGGGGCCCAAATGGTTACCAATATTATTTCGGGGGTTCCTTGTTATAGTTATAGTAAAATGGGCCCAAAACCCTGTTCTACTTATTAATTCCCCAATAGTAGCTCTAGGCAACAAAAATCTAGTGCTTTCCCATCCTCTCAACTCTTCTCCCAGGCATGGTGTCCTGGTGACGAATTGGATCCATACGCTTTTGATTTCTGGTCTCTACCGAACCTCCAAAATCCGTGGAGGGGATCCTCATGGCCAAAAGACGGTATGTGATGCTGTACGTACACAAGGAGTAGAACCTACGAGGGATTGAGGGCAGAAGCTGCCTTGTCACGGGCTTTAAGGGTCTGCGGGGTTTAGGAATACAAGCTTCACAGTCAAGGAGGCTTGTGTTGGATCGTGCTTAGCCCTGACCTGCAAGCAACGTGACGTGCACTGTTTTCTGCACCTTTGGCCACAAACGTGTTCCTGGATGCGAGCAAGGCCGACATGCTGGACCAGTCTTCGCATGCTTTGCAGCACTAGTTTCCACCAGCAAGCGTGCAATCTCCAAGTGGCCACTTTTGGATGTGACCGGTCTTGTCTCCTAAAACAGCACCAGCTTCCGCCAACAAACGTGTAATCTCCAAGTGCCCTTTCTCGGCTGCGAGTATCAAGGCCATCATGCAAGACCGGTTCTTGAAATCCTTTTTAGTTCCACCTTCCACCAGCAATCGCACGATCTCCACGTGGCCTTTACTTGATGCGAGCATCAGGGCCGTCCTGTCAGACCGGTCTTCGCAATCCTTTTGAGCACCAGCTTCGATCAGCAAACGTGCAACCTGCCGGTGGCCATCCCTGGATGCGAGCATCAAGGCCGTCATGCCGGACAGGTCTTTGAAATCCTTTTCAGCGCCAGCTTCCAGCAGCAAACGTGCAACCTGCCAGTGGCCATTCCTGGATGCCAGCATCAAGGCCGTCATGCCATGCAGTGTGTTGGAATCTTTGTCGGCCCCGGCTTCCAGCAAGCATCGGACCATGAGAGTATGATTCTCTTCAGCAGCCGTCGCCAGATCTCTTGCAGCTGCGGCTTGGAGATCAGGCGACAGGCTGGAAACAGGCAACAGCACCAATTGCAACTCCATGGCTCCATCCAGCTTGGCATCATCAGTTAGGAGCCTGCCGCCATGAAGAAGTTCTTGCAAATACACCGGGAAGCCATACAAACCCCAGAAATGCTTCTTCACAGAACCTGCGTCCGTGAACTCTTCTGCACTTATTGCGGCCAGCCGTTGCCCAGAAGGTCTCCAAACAGCAAGCATTGCCGAAGAAGGCACTAGCTGAGCCACTAGCTGACACACACAGACACACACTACTTGAAACATCAAGCCCTGATTTCCAAGTCTTGTTTGACTAGAAAACATTATCCCCAAGCTACTGTAGAGCCCCAAATGCGCGACCAGCAATCCAAGCGGCTGCGAATTGCAAGCAGTACCTCTTCCCTCAACCCTAAAACCGACACAACATCCTTCCGAAACATCAAGCCTCTGTTGTAGAAACTCCTGGAAACATGAACATGCCTTAAGTATGCGACGGTTGTTGTCTGTACATACGCCTAAGCTTCAATGGGTCCTGCTGGTGCCATCGTCACTTTTTTGGCAATGTCGTTTTCTCTCAGCCTCACTCGTGTGCCTAACTGCTGAGTTCCCGGGTCCCAAACCTGAACCTTTCGATAACGGTAGCATTCGATCTGCCCAAGAATCAACAAACTGAGGTAGGTCAATCAAGTTTGAGAGGCTCGCGGCATGCGCTTTCTAGAGGGCCAATTAGTACAGTGAGCGAAGATTAACAACACGGGGCTCAGTTAAAGCAGGTGTTGCATGCTTGCACTTTCAAGTCAGCCCGGCAATAGGCTTAGTGACGGTGATGGTGGGTGCGGAGCTTTTGCTCGACACGCATTGCATGTTTGTTCTTGCGAGCGGAGTGGGTAGGGGTGTCGTGGTGGCTGTGGCTGTTGCTGTTGTTGCCCTTGTTGCTGTGTCTGCTGCAGGTGCTGCTGTTGCCGGTGTTGCTAGTGTTGCTGTTGTTGGTGTTGCTGTTGTCGCTGGCGTTGCTGTTGCTGTCGCTGTTTCCGTTGCCGCTGCCGTTGCCGTTTGCGCGTGCCTGTTGCCTGCTGTTGGTGGTGTTGTTGTTGCTGTTGCTATTACTGTTGCTGCTGCCTGTGTTCTTATGACTGTTCTTGTTCTTGATATTGTTGTTCTTAGTCTTGCTCTGGTTGTTGTTATTGCCATTCTGGTTGGTGTGGTCGTCCTGGTTGTGGTTGTGGTTGTTGTTGTTGTTGTTGTTGTTGTTGTTGTTGTTGGTGGTGGTGGTGGTGGTGGTGGTGGTGGTGGTGGTGGTGGTGGTGGTGGTGGTGGTGGTGGTGGTGGTGGTGGTGGTGTGCTCGTTGTTGGTGGTGGTGCTGATGCTGGTGGTGTTGCTGTTGTTGGTGGTGCTGGTGCTTGTGCTGGTGGTGCTGGTGGTGCTGGTGGTGCTGGTGGTGCTGGTGGTGCTGGTGGTGCTGGTGGTGGTGCTGGTGGTGCTGGTGGTGCCGGTGCCGGTGCCGGTGCTGGTGCTGGTGCTGGTGCTAGCGGTGGTCCAGCGGCGTTGGCGTTGGCGGCGGGGGGGTGCTGGTGGTGGTGCTGGTGGCGGCGGTGGCGGCGGTCGGGTTGGGGCTGGTGGTGGTGTGCTCAAACAGAAGGGGGAAGGGGAGTGGGCCGGTGAATCCAGACCCTATAGCCTGATAAGCGCAGCAGAAAAAAACAAAGAAATACCTCACGTCGAACAAAACTGCGAACGGATGCAAATGATCCCGTCATGACAGAAGCCTGAGATCAGAATGAACTCATCGCGTGTCGGGCTCCAAGAAACAGCCTGCCAGAGATCAGGCTAGTAAGGAATACATAGTATTTTCGATATTGTTCAGACCGCAAAATTAGCCTCAAGCCCATGACATCCAGTTTAGCGCTAAAGCTCATCAGGATGGGTGGGGAGTGCAGGCTTCTTATGGTTTCAGGCTGAGGCAAAACAACATAGTAGTCCCATGCAGCGACTGCTTGCAAACTTCGCCCAGATGTGCCGGTGCACACAGCCTTGGATCGCTAAAGCCTTAAACGCCAAGCCCTTAAGACCCAAAACCCTGCTCCATGCCTGAACACAGCCGCCCTGGCATTCCTCGTCAGTCAAATCCTTCTTCACCTCCCCGGCACGCGACCTGGGAGACCAACGGGCAGGGAGGATCCTATTTGGAAAACCTGAAGAAACCTGAGACCTCCGTTGTACTTGAGACTATGACTTGCATAGGACTTGCATGCCTTGCACAGGAGGCCCTGGCATGAAGGCCAACCGCGATCCACCGTAGTAACTCTGACCTGCAAACACTGGAGGCTCCGCAGTTGTCACCAGATCATATACTGACTCCTTCAAAGGGGGTCAAACAGCCAGAACATCAATGAACGCGAATGCAGGCAGCCCCGTGCCTGTCTCATCCACCTCCGTCTGACAGTGGGCAATCCTGATGGACAGACACAACCAAACTATGCGTTCTTAGAGGGACGAACACAGACACACAGAGAGAGAGAGAGGAAAGATTTGACATGATGTATGTCCTGCCGGACTCAGATCTTGATACACTCCCGTTTGAAAACACGGCGCGGGCACCCTATGCTACACAACAAGACACACCACAGCCCTTCACAGCCGCGGCTGTCCTTGCAGCATTCTTATGTCGGTCTCTATACTTCGTGTGCTGTCAGAACCACATCTCTTCTCATATGGTACCTGTCGTGGGAGCTACGCCTCTAGCACCTTGAAGAATCTCGCGAGCTTCTTTCAGACGGGCTCAAGACCAAGACTTTGGGGATCGCAACAGGTGGTGCCCGGTACACTCGTCTAAGCTCCGAACAAACAGCTGCCCATGTTGTTCCACAGCAAGTCGGCCACCTGCATTCAAGACTCACTGAGGCCTCAAATGCACCTTCAACCCCTAACCTCTTGGCGAAATCCAGCCGCAACACAGTCTCAGCACCTGAAGTCCTGCCCGAAACCCAGGCCCTCAGGGGAAAGCTGAATCTGCCCCACCTGCCCGCATGTCACACCTGCCACGAGCATCGCGAGCAAGATGTGTTTGATACGGTTTTTGGCTCGAGGCTCGACATCGGCTTTACAGGAAGCAAATCGGAGGCTCTTATTCAGCCCTACACCTTCGGGTGATCTGCCAAAATCGATGAAGAATCTCATGCTATGGAGTAGGCAAGAGGTGTGTGTGTGTGTGTGTGTGTGTGTGTGTGTGTGTGTGTGTGTTCTGAACACATACCCCACACCTGCGACGTCTAGGCAACATGTGGTGTGCAATTTGGACTCATGTGCTCCCTGGACAAGTTCTCGTGTGGAGCTTGGACTATTCCCTGCCCCTTTTCTCTCTGAAGTGAAAGCTACTTAAAGGATCATGGGACTTAGTAACTAAGGTTATGATTTGGGGAACTATACTTATCTTATAACTACTTATAACCCCAATTAAGGTACCTTGAACCCGGAGCCCTATGCTGCGAAGCTCAAGGACCGCCAGCGGGGCTCATCTTGGCGCAAGGTGATGAGTGGATGCCATTCTCGTCCACGCTGAGCCTCAGTGTCAAGGCTTGGAGTTCGAGAGTACTCGTACGTGTAAGGTAGATGTAGCTGTATGGAGAACCCAAGTCTAAGTATGCTTCATGCAGTGCATACTGTGGCAAAGTTCATTGAGGGTTAGAAGATATGCTGCAAGTAACGATTGGGTTGCGATAGCTCAAGAACGGCTGATACTTGACACAGATCAGATGCCCTGCTGGGCTACTCTCGCAAAATGTTGCGAAGAACATGAACGAAGACGACTTGGCCACTGCAAACCTGCGATGGAAGCTGACTGTCCCAAAAAGGTGCCTGGGAATTCAGGCTCTGTGGTGGGCTTCGGTGCTAGAGTTCGGTTCAGCGTCCCGAGTTCATCGTTCAGGCTTAAAGGTTTTCTGCATATTGATCACGGCACGCCACTGAGTAGATACTGAGGCTTTACCACTGGCCCGATGTTCGACCTGCCTGCCTATCTTGACCCATCGCAACCATGCGATCATCGTAAAACCTGTCCTGATTATGTTTGTTAGTGACGTCTTTATTGCACGTCCCTATTCCGGTAGCCCTTCATATAGGTGTCATTACTAGTGCTCTTGCCGATGCGTAGTTTAAAAGCGGATTGCTACCACCACCAAAGCTTCAACTCATGATAATCACAGTTCGGATCCATCTCAGCCGCACTCCTGTCTTCAATACTGCGGCTGATGTCCTTATCGCTGCTATTGTTGCTATGCCGTTACTGACTGACAGAAAGCCTCTCCTTCTTGTCATCCCTATCCCCGCTCATTAAACTTTACGAAAAGTATTGCATAATGCCTCCATGAGCGCTAAACCCACACTGCTTCCTAAACCCGTTCAAGCCCCTTAACCCGAATCCTACCTGGAACATTACAGCCCTTTATAGTAGCCCTTAAAGACATTCACCCTTTATCGTAAACCCCTTTAGTCAGCATTGTAGAGAACCTAAACTCCTGGAACCCGCTTAAGCACCGGACTCGAGAATGGAGACCTGGCTACTTCCGCGCGACAGTTGAGTCGTCTGGTTCACTCGGGGTAGGTTCGGACTTACCTCTTGAGTGTAACGTAAGCGCCTTGATAATTGTGACACGTCTTTGGGGCCAAGGGAGACAGCACATTTCGCTTCTCTAAACGCCCCATGAATAGAAGACAGTATGTCTGTTTAACAGCATACTGGAAATCCCTCAGGAAGAGTATTGCTACCAATTCAGTCGACAGCACCACCAGCAGGAAAACAAAAACAGACTGTTTTGTAAGACGCCATACAAACCGTGCAACGACCCTTTAAAATCAAAAGTGCAAAACAGGTAACTGTGCAACAACATCTATCAACCGCACCAGCACAGGAACCCTCAAAGCCGAAATCCTAAACCATAAACCCTACATTCTAACCCGACCCAATATCCTATATCCCCTGCATCCTAAACCCTAAACTCCAAAAATGCTAAATCCTACATCTTAAACCCGAAATCTTGGAAATCCCACAATCTCTTACCAATACACCCTAAATGTCCTAAACCCTATAAAAGCTACATCCTCCAAATCCCAAAACCCATGACTGTAACTCCTACATCCCAAACCCTATAAACCCTACACCCCTAAACCCTAAACCCATAAACCCCACACCCTAAACCCCAAGGTCCTAATCAAAGCCCTCTCTTTGTCCACGGCCTCGGCCGGGCCGACGACCCTTTGGAGGTCGTCGCGCTGGTCCGCCACGAAGAGCGCCAGGCGGGCGAAGCAGGTCTCCGAGGCCTGCGTTGGAGCTCCTTATTCCTTTACCGCTGTCTCTCTCTCTCTCTCTCTCTCTCTCTCTCTCTCTCTCTCTATATATATATATATATGTATATATTACAGCTCTCGCTCTCGCTCGCTCTCTCGCGCTCTATGTATACATACTCTCGCGCTCTGTTTACATACATATGTACGTATGCTTGTGTGTGTACGCGAATCTAGAAATGCACACACATATGCATGTACATATATACACACTCACATGGATACATACATGCATACCTACATACCTACATACATGCATACATACATGCATGCATGCATGCGGACATACATACGTATACACAATGTAGAAAAGTATCAATACAATATGAGTGTGAGCAGGTTTGGGCATGGGTTTTAGGGTCAGAGGCTTTGAGGTTTCTCCAAAAGAAATCAGGGATTTAACAAGGGTCTCTCGGTTTAAAGTGTGTATATAGGTCTTATAAGGTTTCGGCTAACGGCGCAGAGGCCAAGCCGGGTTCCGGGCGGTCATCGGCGCAAACTCAAAGCCGGCCACGTTTTGAACCTCGGCCGAAGGAGTGCTGTCAGATGATGGAGCTCCGGGTGCTTGTAGGATTCTGTATGCAAGAGTTCTGGTGAAAACTTTTTGACGGGATCAAATAGGTTCTTGTCGGATTCGTTTTAAAGTTGTTTTAGCATTCTTTACAGGGTCGGTCGTATATGACGAGTTTGGCCGTTTGGCGTCTCAAGCAGGTAGCATCCTAGACGTCAGTACTATAGGGGCCCATTAAATCTAGTTATAACAAGTAACCCTAAAATAGTAGGTAATTATTCAGGCCTATATTAAGAGATTTTGCCCACCTGCCTAATTGAGTCCTTCAGCTGAGCAGGGCCACAACCCAAACCTCTCATTACCGGACTTTCATGCACACATGTACGCAATGAGCATTCGAAGTACTCAACAGGCTGGAACTCAAAAACAACAGGTAAAGGCTCAAAACGGTGGGATCCTTTCTGGGTTGGAGTTTAGGGTTTAGCGCAATTTTTACAACCCCTTTTCCATCAGGGCGGTTTAGGGTGTAGGGCTTACTTACAAGAAGACACCCCTACCTTCTGGAACTCCCGGGTCCCGATGGGCTCCGAAACCTTACAAGCCTTCATCTTATAGAAACTTATCCTGACGCCGCCCAAAACCTTCTTAAAATACCGCATGGACATCAATAACATACACCTCTTTCAAACGAAAGCCACGAATGAAAACTCCACCCCGCCAGGGCAGGTTCCGAGCTCCCTACAGCCAGCTCCATGAGATGGTCCTCCCCCAGGTTAGCACCGTCATAGAGGATGATCTTTCCTGGAGCTTCAGAGGATCATGGCTTAGGGCTGAGAGCTTCTGGGTCTGGCGTTCAGGGCCTATGGGGTTTGCAGGCTTCGGGGTTTAAGCTTGGCTTTCCGAGGTCCGGTTTGGGGTTGGGGGCTTCAGGGTTTTAGGATGATCTTCGGACTTCCGGCTGAAGACGTCTGGTTCTTAGGATGATCTTCCCTGGAACTGTGGGCTCGCGCAGCTGTTGGGCTTCTCAGTTTTCAAGAGCCAGAGTTCGAAGATCTCCCTTAGACAGTGTTAAGCTCAGGGCTTTGGATGGTATAAATCAATTTTAGTTAGTATATTCCAACATTGATCTCCATGTTGTCCCCACCATGCCCAAGTCGATGGCAATGCCCATCACACAAACAAATCCCGATTTCCTATGCGTAAGCTTTTAGGGTGCAGGGTCTGCAATATGATGCCCGACCTGCTGTAATAGAGGGGCTTTAATAACTACCTATACTATTTTGGTGGTTCCTTATTATAGTTATAGTAGAAATAGTGTGCGATTATTGGGTACTTGGACCCTTGGGGCTATATTAATCCACACCCCCCTTCTCGCCTTCCGGCGTGAGCCTGGCACAGAGGTTCTCGTCGTTGGTCCATTGCAGCACCTGGTTTCAGGAGATGCCGGAGACTTTTCGGGCCTTAATACAATAAATAGAGTAGGGTTCCTTTAAGGGCTTCCTCATGATGGGGGTTAAGTATAGGGACCTTAATGCATAGAATAGGGGTTTTGGAATATATTATCGTATAGCTATTCTAACGAACCCCCAAAACAGTATGGGTAATTATGTAGGCCCCATGCAGTAGATCAAGTTCTCATCTCCCTGTGTTTTTGTGCTCTTACTGTGAGACTTGATGCTGCCGTGAAGTCTGCCCAGCCTTCTTGTCCTTCTCGAGCTTGGGGTGACAGTACGATGCCTGGCACGGAAGCTGTTTGCCCTTTCAGCAGCAGTACCATTAGCAGCGGTGGTAGTGGCAGTGGCAGTGGCAGGGGACAGCGGCGCCATTGGGTGGTTTTGTTGCTGTTGCGGCTGCTGTCGCTGCTGTTGAGCTGCTGCTGCTGCTGCTGCTGCTGTGGCCGCTGCTGTTCGTGTTTCTGCAGCTGCCGCAATTGTTGATGGAGTAGCTGGGAGCAGGAGGGGTACAGCAAGAGTAGTGGACGCCATCGTCCCATCACAATCATCACACGTGTAGGATTGTTTCGTCTATATATATATATATATATATATATATATATGTGTGTGTCATCAAAGGTACATGCGCCAACAAAATCACAAGGACCCTACAAGGACCCTACTCCTACTCCGACTACCACTACTCCTACTACTACAACAACAACTACTACTACTACTACTACTACTGCTACTACTACTACTACTGCTGCTACTACTACTACTGCTACTACTACTGTTACTATTACGATTATTATTACTATTGCTATTCGTGTTCCTCAGACTCAGCCCGCCTGCAGCTCGTACTCGCCGCCCTGACCTGCGCCCGCTCCGGGACCATCCGCTCCGGCGCGGCGCCAGACGTGGACGTTGGACTCCTGGCCCGGGTTCCTTATTATATTTATGGTATAATATCCCTAAAGCCCTATTCTAATTACTAAGGCCCATGGAAAGAGTTGCAGTTTAGGGTTTAGGCTTTTGGGTTTTACATTGATTCTGCAGCTACCTGGCGTAGCTGTTTGCGTGGCATGTGTTGAACAACCTCCGCCACAAGAGCATCACCTGCCAAGACTGCCTATGGAGATTATAAGGCTTAGCACACGCCGAAGCAGCAACTTCGTGGCACTCATTGCCATAAGACAAACATCTGTAGCCAAGATGCATCAGGGCAGAAGGAAGCTCTCAGCACGTTGGGGCGTAGAGCCCAACCCGTTCAAAGCCGGGGTTCTACTTCCGCGTAGCGACTAGACCAACAGGACATACAATATGTAAGCTCGAAACTATAAGTACTGGAAACTGCAATTCGCAGCCCCTCCTGCAAGTTCTTTCCACCCGGCGCAATCGTCACCAACGCAGAACCCATGGGAGACCTCGATGGAGTGATGTTCTGTCTGGGTGCGAAGCCGAATGTGTTGATGGCATTCCTCTCCTCTAAGCCCCAGGCTGAAGCGCTAAACTCTAAACCCTACTTCCCTGTTTATGACCCCAACTACTCAGTCCCATGATCCTCCAAGTAGACCCCAAACCCAAGACCGTAACCTCTAAAACCCTCAGCCTTGATTCGTGAGTCACGGACAGGGTTTAGGGTTGAAAGGGTTTAGGGCTTCGGGGGTTTAGGGTTTAAGAACCTCGCAAAGACGCGCACAATCAACGGCAAAAGGAGATTCCTGGTCCTCTACCAGCTAACAGTAATCTAGAGGTCGCAACAACTACTGGCAGCATGCCCTTAAAGTTTCCTCGTTATTGCCGTAGAACATACAACTCAAAAGACCCTAATCTAACGTTTGAACCCCCCCCCTAGTAGGACAACGGCCACATAAAGGTGAAGGCATTCTTGGGCGCTTTCGGCAAGTCCAGAATGCTCGCACCGGACCTGAGGCAGAGAAGATGAGCCCAAAGCTTCCGGGAGCTTTTGAAGATACAGATGTTCGGAGCAAAGCCACCACTTAGCGAATGCATGGAAGGTATCATTCATGGCAGCAGGGGCCAAGCTCAAGAGCTCCTTCTGAGCTCCTGTGAGTGGAGGGCCGATTGCAGAGCTTTCAAAGGGCTGTGATAGGAGAACGCAACAACCCAGATCGCAGTCCAAAAACCCTCAGACCTACTTGCTCACATACTTACTTCACGATGCCAAGGACTAAGAAGCCCAGACTATCTACGAAGCCCAAGCCGTTCAACCTGAAGCCACCCCTCCGGGCCCGAGCAGTTTGGTGCCACTCTCGGATTCGAAGACGGCGACTTGGGGTCCCTGAACCGGATCAACCTCCGAGGTTTCAGCAGGGGTTTAGGGCTTAGGGCTTAGGGGTTTAAGGGTTTAGGGGTTTAGGGTTTAGAGGTTTTGGGTTTAGGGGTTTAGGGGTTTAAGGTTTAGGGGTTTAGGGTTCAGGGTGCTTCGTCTAAGGCTTATCGAGGGTTTAGGATGCGCGTTCTTAGAGGATGCGGGGCTTCAGGCTTGAAGGTATGGTTCTCGAAGGCACTGGCTCTGGGATTACTGGGTTTAGGTTTCGTGTGTAGCTTCGTCGGCTAGCTCAGGGCACGGGCATCACATCACGGGGCAAGGTTGGATACATCTCCTTCAGGGTTTAGGGTTTAGGGCAGCCTGACACCCTCAAAGTACAGTTTCCCAATTCCTTAAAACATCAAAGACAGCCGATCGCAACGGGGGCTTCGATCTTCCATTGCCAGATCAGGACACCTTAATACAGGGGCCTCAATAATTAGAATAAGGCTTGCGGGTATATTATACCATACTTAGAAGGAAACCCCAAAATAGCTCTCCTTGCCTCTCGATGTAGGCGCAGAAGACGAACCGAAATCGAAACCACAAGAGCTGCTGTTCTCACAAAGAACTCTCTCTAACTGTACAGGGCTTGATGTTTAAGTACTCGCATCAATCCTCAAGCCGACATGCACGCCAAAGTCAACCATGGCTTCTGCCTTAGCAGAGCCCCATGCTTGGCTCGTCTTCACAGCTATCCACCCAAGGCCAACAAGATCCCTCCAAAGCTGCCGCCCCTCTCAAAAACACATCAAAAAACACCGAAACCCCTCGACCCTCTAAACTCGAAACCTGCTTCTTCTGCTTTCAATCTGGGCTCCACACCATGCCCAGAGCGATACCCGAAGGACACCAGGACGCCGCCTCGGGATCGGAGCTCTTTGGGGGAAGCTTGGGGTTGAGGGTTTGGGGTTCGAGGGATCGAGGGTTTGAGGGCTCAGGGTTTGAGGGCTGAGGGTTTAGGGCTTTACGGGTTTTAGGGCTTGGGGATTAAAGGGGTAACATGATAAGGTTAAAGGGTGGGTTCAATAAGCCCCTCGAAGCGAGTTGGCACTTAAATTGCTCTTTCTGGCAAAGCTAGACTCTCACGCGCACAACATCCAAAAAACCGAACGCCAAGGGAGGGCCGTACTTGGTGTGCTCGAAACCCATCTCAAAGAACCCCCTGACTCTGTGCCTTGGGCAGCGCGAGAGGGAAAGGTGGCGCCTGCAGCTTGAACAAGGCCGATTACATGATTCAGAAGCTCTTCTCCTCTGACTCTGAGTAACACTTGAACCTATATCTTTGACACAGATGGCTTCAAGCTGCTAGTTTCACGATATAGCTGCTGTCTACGATGCTGAGAAATGCACCCCAGGAGCAAGACCGTGCTGGAACTCTGGCGTAGGAGCGTAGGAGCAGCATGCGGTCACCGCAATAAACAAAACATTGCTGCCTGATCCCCGGGAATCCCTCACCCCGAGAGCCTCGGCCCGCTTTTCGTTTTTTCTTTCACAGCCATCGCGACTATCCGTATGAGGAACGACATGGAGGATTAGAAGGAAGACGAGTCGCAGTGTATATAGGACTATGACGACTACTGCAAACAGCTTCGCGTCTCTAACGTGTCCCAGGCCTGTGCTTCCTCAATCTGCGACGTACCAAAGCCTCCCAGGCGCGGGTGCAGAGAATTTGCGAGGAACATGGAAATCATTGTATCGGATCTGCCCCAAACCAACTAAGCTCCGCTAAGCGTGAGAGTTGTTGCGACCGCCCGAAGGGTAAGGATGGAAAGGTATCTATGCTTCGAAGCCTACAAGCCCTGACATTCACTTGTTCGTGTTATACGGTCCACAGATAAAATGAAAACAAGAGTTGGGTGCAAAGCAACTGTGACAGAGTCTGCACCTCAAGGCACAACTCAAACCCTCAATCAGTTCTTAACCAAGTGCGCGGCCGTAGAGCTTCAAAAACTCCTTCTCCCGAACGAAGAAAGGCATCGGCCTGTGATAGTAACCGCCGCTCGATGAAAGTCGCTCTCGTTGTCACCATGCTCCGATATTCAGCATAACGATGATGCCAGCCAGCTTGACTACTGTTCTTGTCAGGCTTACTGCCTGTACTCTGCCGTCTGCACGTGCTAACATTCGCTGCAGTCTTTGCTGACTAACTGTCATTACCACCACTACCACTACGACTTCTACTCGCTAGCACACTAGTAGTGTAGTAGTAGTAGTAGTAGTAGTAGTAGTAGTAGTAGTAGTAGTAGTAGTAGTAGTAGTAGTAGTAGTAGTAGTAGTAGTAGTAGTAGTAGTAGTAGTAGTAGTAGTAGAGTAGCTGTTGTTGCAGTACCAAATGTCGGAGTACTGGTAAACGCAATAGTCGGCTCGTGGCTAGAAGCCGAAGAACACCTAACCTGTGATTATGGTAGGTCGACAGCTCAGGCGCTCACGGAGGGTCGGAAGCCATGATGCGAGGAAGGCACCTGGCTAGGAGTTTACTACAAAAACGACTGACTATGACTAATTATGAAGAGGACTGATTTTAGTCACTGGTAGTCATGATGCTTAGACGTATCAAGACCATGCTGGAACGGGAGGCAAAGGGAGCATCTTGGTTGCTGCCAATCGGTTGCCCCGAAACCCATAGTCGGAAGAAGCCTGTCTAATAAGCAAGAGGTTCCCGGGACAGTGCGAACGGCGAAAGGCTCACATTAGGCAGATTCCTAGCACTGCCTGCAGTCACCATCGTGGTTCCAATTCTGGGTTGCCTCGTGTTGTATGGGATTCTGAACGGGGACCACAGGCATTGCGAGCAATCGGGAGGGGCCTTAGGGGAGGGTCGGATTTGGACCAATAGTAGCTTTGGACTACGAAGCACATGATATTAAGTATAGTAATCCTGAAAAGCACCCTCTTGTAGCAACCCTGCATCCCTCCCATACAAACCCTTACAGTTTAGTGGCTCTTCTAGTAAACCTGTTGAATCAAAACAGCTCGGCTCAAGCAGGTCGGAGATGCCTCAACGAGGAGGTCGCTATGCGAATTTGGGCCAATTCCAGCCCCTAATCGTGAAACAAAATCGGGGAATGCACCCTAAGCTTCTGGTACGGCGCTTCTTGCAAGAAGCAGAAATAAGCGCCTAGAAGACAGAATCTGCCTGTCACTTCCCCAAAAGGCGGGTACACCTTGCTCGAGGATCTACAACGGGGGTGCTTAATCAGGTTGCTGCATCAATGATTCAGAAGGGTCCCGAACCCTACACCTGGCTAGAGGCAGCAAGCAGAAGGTCCGAAAGGGCAGTTTAAAGAGTAGCCCGGCTCGTAAACAAATGCGGCCTTGAGCTGGGTAGCGGCGCGCTGCGGACGAGGCGTTCAGCGCCAGCAAAAACAAACAACGAACAAGTCAAGGCCATCATCAGCGTGCACACATGCTCAGCATGGGCTGAAGATGTGCCAAGCCGTACCCCATCTTACCCTTATGGTAGACGGTAGACCCTTTAGCAACCTGCTTGGTAGTCCCATTACCATAAATGCAGCTCAGCAGAGGAGGAGCGAGAGTGTAAAAATGCCCCAAAGGGCCGACCAAGGCTGGTGCTTCCACAGTCAAAGCTGCGTAAAGCAGCACGTGTGTTTGGAGTTCGGAGCCTCTTGCGCCAGGGCTTCGAGAAGAGGGCTTCTGGGCTTAGGGTTTATAATGTAGGGGCCTTTCTTAGAATAGGGTTTGGGGGTCTATTTGACTATAGTTGTAATAAGGAACCCCCCAAACCCTATTCCAATTACTATAAGACCCCTTACAGTACCCGCAGGTTTCAACGGATCATCTCATCCCGCATCCTGAGATAGTTCCCCAGGGGTTCAAGTACTAGATTATCAGATACTCTCCGAAATAGTAAGCTACATAACTACTATCCTAAACCTAAGTACCTGATTACTGGGTCCTTTGGACCCTGAGGGAATTGGGGGGCATAGATGCTTCGGATTCCGCTCTCGGGCTGAGAAGGATCCGTCTGAACAGTACTCCAACCCCGAGATGTGAATTTAGGGTTTAGGGTTTAGGGGTTTAGGGTTTAGGGGTTTAGGGTTTAGGGTGAATTTTTCAATTCTTGAAAGCAAGAAAGTTTGCTACTCGTCGAACGTCTCAGTGCATGAAAGGACTGAACACTTCTGAAAGAAATCTTGATAGTGGCCTTGGTGCCTTACAGAAACCCTTGTAGTATTCTGTATCGTAAGCCGTATAGCAGCAGTGACCGTAGCCTTTATAGTACTCCTACTAGTAACTTTTATGGTACCCCTCATGGCGAACTGCTTCAACTCCGTCGCGCAACCTCAATATAGAACAATAAGATCCTGGGCTGTTTTGGGTAGCCCTATATTCTGCATCCCCGCATATGCTTCAACTCCGCCCCCTCCTTGAAAGGAAAGCCGTGGCCAAGTGCCCCAATCCGAGGTGGCGACCGAAGTTGATCATGTCCGTGCCAACCTAAGATGATTTAGAATCTAGTATAAGGCCAAAAAAGGGCTCTATAATCGGATTCCTTTTCAGGGTACTATGGGCATTGGGGTTCTGGAATAGGGTTCCCTTTAAGGGTGTCTCTCTGTCTCTCTGTCTCTCTCTCTCTCTCTCTCTCTCTCTCTCTCCGAGCCCGAAGTCTGAGGGCAGACGAAGCCGGTTTCGTTTTGGGTAATATAGTACCCTTGATAGTAGGATCCTTATTATAAGGACCCGAAAATAAGGTACCCCTAATTTTCGAAAACTCGAAATTGGAGCTTACGACCTCGAGGTAAAGATGCACCAACAAATATCACAAAAGGTTGATCAGCGGCGCCCTGCAACTCAAACAAGAAGGGGCCCTCAGCAATTATGAATAGGGCTTTGGGGTATGTTCTACCATACTGGTATTCGGGAATGGGCAGTAAGGGGATACTTTCAGTTGTTATTCCCACCCCTGTATTCCAAGATTCTGGATCTGGGCCTGAAGGAGCCAAGGTGGCACATAGATCCCTTCAGTATTCAGGGAACCCTTAAAGGAGCCCAATACAGGATCAACAGATCCCTAAGCCCTAAACCCTTAAGGGAACCCTGTAGATCCTTCCACAGCTGATCAGACCCGACAGTGCGGCGGTGCGGCCATGCTGTCAAATGGCATGCCCGGGTCCTGGCATTCAAGCTTAAGGTATTTTAAGGTTTGGGGTATTGTGGGGTTTAGGGTAGTTTAGGGTGTGTTAGGGTTAGCGTGTTTTTTCAGGTTTTTTTGCGGTATTTTAGGGTTTAGGGTATGTTAGGGTGTGTAGGGCCTAGGGTATGTTCGATCTTCCAACTCTCTCGAAAACACTCAAAGCCTCACAGACCAATGAGCCGGGCGGCTGTCAGACCTGGAACTTGCTCTTAACGCCGTATGAACTGGATTTCACATCTTCCGCCTGAGCAACCCAGAACTCCTGGACTCCCCCCAAAGTCCGCCCTTCCTCGTTCTGAGCCGGAAAAAATCTGCGAACCCGAGACTTCAAGCCACGGCTTGGTCCTTCAAGGTCTCCGAGAGGGACTTGAAGGGATAGGGCACGCCAACCTGAACTCACCACCGAGCTCTTCGTAGGATAGGAGAAGCCCTGATATTCAGAGAAGTGAATGAGAGAATGACAAGCCCTGTCGCTTACAAAACTCCAGCGCGAAGCTGTCTGCACAAATGCGGACTCCCGCGGCCTTCTTCTCTGTGACGAGGCCGCCCGAGACGTAGGGAGGGAAGTTGGACGTGTCCCCAATTCGGATGGAGTTCACCTCGTGGGATACCACATAAGAGCGGTGCACAGACCCCAAACATATGAACCAAACCATCTTCTCACTCTACATCTGGATACCCTGCGAGGCATCTGGGCTTGCTTTGCAAGGACCATACCTGCGGCTTCTCTTTGCCTCAGAAAGCCAAGAGGAATTGGGTCCGGCTGTGTTTGCTCCTGCCCCGACAGGTCAGGGATTCGGGTTCTAAACAGGGGTGCAGTCCAACCACGAAACCCGACATACATCAAACTCCGGATAACCCGAACTCAAACCCCCATGACGCCGAACCCTATAGACCCCAAACCCTACGAGCCCCAAGGCGCTGACGGAACCCGAAACCCCGAGACTCCCGCGGGATCATCCGACTTGGAGGAGATCTTCCTGGGCTTTCCCCACTTAGGAGCCCTCTGGGTCCGGGTGTTAGGGCCTTAGGTGTGTTGGGGGGGAAGTTAGTAGAGGGGCCATGGTATTTTGAACAAGGCTCCCTCTAAAGAGTTCTATAAGTGTGCTAGTGGGTTTTGGGGATTGGGGGACTGAGAATTGGAATAGGGCTGCGTTGTCTTTCAGTGAATGAACATACATGAACCATAAAATAAAACAGGGATCCTAACCATTTCCAAGGCCTTAAAGGTCATCTGCGAAAGGGTGTCTTGGGTTCTGGCTGTAAGACAGTCCGAGGCCTCCTGTTCAAAACCGACGCTTGCACTTTGTCAAACATTCCGATGCTCCAGTTTCACCATCCACGGGAGCTGGAACTCGTCCCCGCCACAGGCTTTCTACAGATTTCTGCAACCTTAAAACTGCCTTCCAAGTAGCCATGCTGTGACATGCTCACCGCAGGGGGAGGGCTCCTCCGACGATCGCTCGCAGCACATGACAAGTCGCTCACGGCACTTTTCTATCAGGCTATGCTAGACTGTCTGTGACATCTCCCGGAATCAAGATCAACTTCGTTCGCCTGCCAAAGATCCTCATTCTGCGTCGCCCCACCCGGCACCTCTTTCGGGTCGCCAGCAGCTTGCAGGATTATAGTGGAATTCATTAACCAGCGTCTGGAGTACCGCATCATGGCCGCAGCCTATATTCAAAGCCCGCTGAACCTTGACAACATCTAAACCCTAAGCCCGAATCCCTTAAACCCTGAGCCCCCATCCGCTCCTGATGGGTAGAGATTCCGTCCTCAGGGACACATGACAAGCTGGGAGCTTCAAACATAGCTGTGTTCATGGCTAGATGGTAGCACCTCGACCTCGGATGACCTGTAGGGGTGGCATGCATGTGTGTATGTGTGCACATGTATACAGACAAATACATGTACATACATGCCTGTATACATACGTGTACAGTCACGGTATATGTATGTATGTAAAAATCCGTATGCCATCCATCTATCTGTCTATACATATACATATACATATACATATACATATACATATACATATATATATATATATGTATACATATGTACGGATATGAAGACATAACCACAAATGCCTAAAGGTGTTCAAACTCATCAGAGGCCTAGTATAAGGTCTTCGGAATATGGTTTCGCACAGTATTGCCATATGAGATCTACAACGAGATATCATAGATCTCCGAATCTCCATGTTAACCCTAACCCAGATCAGCAGAGTTTGCAGGATGGCTGAAGAACCTCTGGCCATGCCCACCATCGTGCTGGCAAATCAAACCACCAGATGATAACATAAACACATATACGGTATGACGTTAGACTTCACTATGTGTGTGCGTGTGTCTGACTGTACTTATGTACATATACATACATATATACATACATATACTATGTATATATGTATAAAAACATACATACATGTGTATGTGTATATATATATATATACATATATATATATATATATATATATATTTGTCGTTGCATAAAGGCTTGAAATTACTCGTATATACCTCTGTGGCTGTCTGTCTGTCTACCGATCTATCTGTCTGTCTGTGTGTCTGTCTGTCTGTCTGCCTTCCTGCCTGCCTGCCTGCCTGGCTGTCTGTCTCTCCGTCTGTCTCTCTGTCTCTCTGCCTGTGTCTCTGTCTATCTCTCCGACTGTCTCTCTGTCTGTCTTTCAGTCTGCCTCTCAGTCAATCTCTCAGTCTCTCTCTGTCTCTCTCATTGTCTCGCTCTCTCCCTCCTCTCTATCTCTGCCTCTCTCTTTCTCTCTCTTTCTCTCTCTTTCTCTCTCTCTCTCTCTCTCTCTCTCTCTCTCTCTCTCTCTCTCCGTGTCTCTGTCTGTGTCTCTGTCACTGTACTCATGGTATCATTGGCTCGTTGCAGCCAAAGCTCACTGCCCTGGACGTCGGAGAACCTGATACGGTCGAGGGAAAACTGCTTGGTAGCACATTGGGAGTAGACTATAACATACTATAGCAGCATCGCTAATGTGGTTCATAGTTAAGATGATACGTTACATGTTTGGTGCAATGTACGACAATGCACTACTAGTATGCTGTAATTATATATATATACACTACATTATACTACACCACACCATCATACGGTATACTACAGTACAGTAACCTGGGATCACAAAATGTTTACGGCTTACGGTTCGGAGCTTAGGGCGCTGGAGGCTTGTGTAGGGTTTGCTAGACGCCCTGGTGATGAGACACTGTGTACTGAGCACGACATAATCCAAAAAGCGCGAAGTTCACACTGCCTGCCCATCCGCACCAGTGATAGTCTGCGACATTATGCGATCATGCCGGGTGCCACCAAGGCCTCGAATGACCGAAGGAAGATCTCCGGCCATTGAAGATCATAATATGGAAATCTTGTACATGTCTGGCGACGATTGCAACAAAGGGGCCTGATTGTGTTGTATCGATGGTACATACGGAAGTACGGAAACAACTTTGACAGTTCTTAGCAAGCAGCGATGCCTCCTGAGAATTCACTATCTTGTTCGTCATTCCCTCCTGAGCCACAGAGTAGTCTGCGCTTCACCCCATCGGCGCGGAGGGCACAGTCGACTACAGCATAGCACAGTACATTGCGGTTTTTTATGTTCCCTGTAAACCATAGTATATACTATCTTATTCCTTACAATAAGGATCCTACGATTCAGGGTGCGAAACTATCTTTGAAGTCCCCCTGTTCTCATGGCCAAGGAACTCCACGTAGCATCCTTCCGGCAGGGAACCGGGGGCCTTCCAAGGCTTCTACCACCCCATCCCCGACGAGGAGACAAAGCAGGGGCCTTACTAAATATTATAGTAGGGCTTGGGAGTATATTTTGCTATAGCCAAAATAATGAGGAACCCCTAAATATTCAGACCTTTACATGACCATCAGAGGGTCTGTTGATGTTGTGCGAGACTCTGCTGCCCATCCTGAGCCCTAAAACCCTATAAACCCTCAGCCCTAAAATCCTAAATCCTGAGCCCGACTGAAAGTCGGAGAAATCAGAACGATGTTTTCAACAGCGACCTGCCAATTGTCCCGAGGACGAAGGCTTCTTGCCACACTGATCTTCGACTAGACTATCTTGGTAAAGGCGACAACCGGATGAGCGACTATAGTCTATATAAAACATAGTATAAGTAGATAAAAGTAGTACGGTAGAAGCAATAGTAGATAGTAGGTTTTCGAGTAAAATAGTGTGGGGTATAGCATAGAGCAGTGTAGTATAGTTTTGTGCACATCGTCAGTAGCCTGACCGTCGGGAACGCTCAGCCGCACGAGAGCCTCGGCAAGAGCAGTCTGGCAATCACCATCAAGAATGCATGACAAGCACCAAACCAAAAAGTATCCTCTCCGGCAGGCAATGCAGCGACACTCGCAACAAGAGTATTGCCACGACACTCCCCATAGAATATGCGGCTTTTATTTTTCTCTTCTCTTGTTCACTCTGCTCCTACTTACTGAATATACGATCTTGTACGGTACTACACGACACACTACTAATTATGCTATGATATGCTGAACTTTACTATGCTATGCTTTCCGACAGTGTGTTGTGCTATGCTCTACTATACTGTACAACACCAAACCACGCCATACCAAGCCAGACCAGACTGCTCCACCACCTGCCTCTGGGCCGTTCTCGATGGATTCGACCAGTCGCACCATCGGGGCCTGACCGGCGATGTCCAGATCATAGAGCTGTTGGCGTTAGTTTAGCTAGGGCTTTAAAGGGTTTAGGGCCCAGGGTATTGGGGTTTGGCTTGTCAATCACTTGTCGGAAGCTCGGCTCATGTTCTCATAGGGCGGGACTCGCAGTAACGACCCCTACACCCCCCTCCCCCCCTTGTAAGGGTCCCTATGATGGCAGTGGCCGGCCGAATCTGCTAAAACCCAGGCATAGGGCAAATGGGCAGCTTTGGCGAAAGGTACCCTGAGCTTCAGAGAAACCCCCCCGCCCCCTCTTTGTGCGGGGATTCCTTTTGGCATCCTACCGCAGCATATGCACCATCTTGCCCTTCCCCAAAACAGTCACCACACCCAACACGCTCAAATCATGCGACACACACCCCTTCCTAAAAGCAGCTTTTCACACCATCCTCGCGTCGCATTTTTGCGGTCTGGCCTTCAATCGGCCGAGGCCTGCGATGCCCAAGAAGGCTCTGTTAGCGTGGGGCTCCTTGTCCTTACGGTTTAGCGCTTAGGGGGTTGGGCCCGAGAGTTTGCGTTTACATGGTTGTTTATACATATATATATATGTATATATGTAGATATATACACCTCACTTCACCAAAACAACTCGTGAATGACCTCCTGGCTCCTTCAGGGCAAAGCCTGTGATTCCTCCGCATCAGGCCTAGTACATCAACTGCGCTGGGCTTGGGGGGTTCGGGTTTATTCAGAGCGGTTTGGCATGGATTGCTTGCTGAAATTAGAGCCTTGTAGGCCTCCAGGTGCTAGCATCGCAGCTTGCGAAGAGGTGTTTCACCCCTCAGCCGCTGTCCCAGTAGGTAGTGTAAAACCGATATCTCCTCTCTCAAGCCTCGACCACAAGTGGGAAACCTATTCATGCAGAGTCTTTCCAAGGAGCACAGCACTAGAGACGAGAACGCATATACTTTCGGATTTGAATGGCATGGTATCGTATGGTATGATTAATTGTGTTGATACAAAAGAGTATGGTATTGTAAAGGGTAGAATACGTACTACAGTCCAGTGAAGGGCGGTGGAGTAGATCAGAATCTATCATAGTAGATAGTGTACAGCATAGTAAGTTCTAGCTAATGCAGTATGTAACAGAGTGACAAGTATAGTGTATAGTGTACTTTATAATAAAAGACGAAAGGAGATTATATAGTATAGTGCACAGCACTGTGCAGTAGAGTATGGCAGCACAGTACAGTGTAGCATAGGAAAAGAGAAAGTATATCATAAAGGAAAAATGCTGTATGATTTCGGCAGTACAGTATAGCGCAGCATCATAGAGTGTAGGTAGCATATAATATAGCATTGCATGGAACAGCATAGCACCACATAGCTTTGGACAGCATGGCATTGCATCGAGTACTAGAGCATCGTTAAGTACCAAATAGTATACTGTACTTTTGCGATGCATGGACGGCGGCCTGGTGCCTAGCCTGGGTCTGTCTCGGAGAGGAGAGGCAGAGGGCTAAGACGCCCGTGAAAAATCGAAGGGTTGCAGCGGTAGGGGGACGGGTCATCATCTCGTAGAGTGACTATGCTAGACGGTACCATCCTATACTCTACCCTGCAGTACTACATTACACTGCATTACACGAGACTGGACTAGACTAGTCGTTGCTATGCTAGGCTACGCTGTGCTTGCAACACATTACATTACATTCAACAATACAATACGATGATCTTATTTTGCACTACTACACTGCTCTAGGCTGTGTTTTACGAAAATACCATGCTTGATTTTTGTCGGGCGTAGCGTACGTCCTACGAGAAAGGTTCGAATATGGCATCCTATTCCCGATCTCACGTGTGCTGCTGTCACAGAAAAGACCGTTACGGGGAAAATGCGACTAGGTATGTGCTCCTTGCAGAGTCTTTAACTACGCGGCTTCATGACTCCTTCAGGCCTTCAGGGAGATCAAGGAGATGAAGACTACCGGGCTGGCGGTTTTCAGGTTATCCAGTAGCACTTGGTGTTGGTGTCACGTGTCTGTGGCAGTCTTTCACTCTTTTCCGATCTCATCCAGGACCTCGAAGGCCTTGTAGATGACCTGAGCTTGCATTGCACAGGGGCCTTCCAGCCAAGCCATTCTGCGTGCGAAGCAGACGCTTCTCCAAACACCCGACAACCATCTTCACAGTATCCTAAGCGAAACAATGTACTGCTTGAGCCTCGCAAGAGGATCTCCGACAGCCCGTGAATGGTCTTGTTTTCGAAGGGTGTCTACTATCGGTGATCGTAGGGCAAAATTTTCCCTAGAGGGGCTAAAGGCTTGAGGAAGACGCCCCAGTTGCCAGCAAGCAGGACCATGCACATGCACATCCACAGAAAATGCCCGATCGCACCCTGACAAAAGCTCTCAAACTCTTTGAAAAGGCCAGGCCAGGCGCCTGTTGGGAGGTGGCACCTCCGGCAGTGTACCTGTTTGCTTCAGAAGCTTCTACTGCAAATTTCTGACAATACAGGGTGGGCTTGCAAGATGTGGCTGGAAACTCTGCTCTCAACCCCACGCTGCGGACAGATAGTGGCACCTCTGAAACCAGCTGGACTCCTTGATGATGCCGTGCGCCTGGTGACGTTCGACAAACACGTTTGTGCGAGATGTCTTGAATCAAAGGTCGTCCTCTTCTGGTAAGACGGGCAAACGCCACAAAAACAACGGCAGCTGCAGCATCAGCAACAGCATCAACAGCAGCAACATAAACCACAACAACAGCAGCAACAGCAAAACAGACAACTCCCCACAAGGGACGCCACTTCTAACAGAAAAAAGACTCCGAACGAATATCACGTAACTCACCCTTCAAACGACCTCCACCAACAACAAAAGAAAGCACGAACCCCCAAGCAGGCAGAACCTGAAACGGCAAAAGCAACACTGCGGCAATGAAAGCAGCCACAACAACGAATTCCCGTGCAGACGCTACTTGAGAAAACAACTTCGACGATCCAAGGTTTGCCACCGTAGACTTGGATTGCCTGACCGTGACGACCCGGCTGTAGGACTCGAAAAGCTACCCTTATGTCGTCTGACCCGACCTCGTCAGGCACGTACTTCGTCCACTCAGGGTCGCCATTCCGCATCAGCTGCACAACATCCTGCAGCGATTTCAAGACTATGCGAATTGCAAGCTACACGTGGAGCAAGTCACGCACCTTGGATGCGATATCCACGTATCATGTGCGCGCATGTAGTCGCTACAAAAGCAGATGAGCCGAAAGCCAAAATCTAGAACGAACCGCCATCCCCCAATTTGATGTTGTCCTGGAGCTTGCAAGTCCTTGATACCAAGCCCATAGGATGGACCACAGACTATGCTTTAATCAGCACCCTAGAACCTCGAGCAGCAATGTCCCTCTTAGATGAGCCCTACAGAGGACCCTATAAAGAAACTTAGACAATTGGATCCTCACTTTTCGGACCCCTCCCCTAGAAGCCTAGCTAAACAACAATGGGACCCCTGATTCAAAGGACACCCGAAAGAGGTGCTCTGGCTTAGTCTGTGGATGTCTGTAGTCACGACCTCTCCGAAATCCTGAGCCCCGAAGCCCCAAAAATCCGAAAACCCCAAACATCCCCAAACATCCCCAAACCCTAAACCCCAAAAGCTCTAAAACCCTACCCTAAAACCCCAAACCCTATAAACCCCGAAACCCTAAACATCCTCAACAACTCCAAAACCCTACCCTACAGCCCTTTGCCGTCTCCTCGGACTGCCCACGATAGGGCTCGTTGGACTCTTTGCTGACGGCGAAACTGTTCATGTAGGTCGGCTCAATGGAGACCTGGAGTTCGTTTGTGTTGGTTTAAGTAGGGCTTGGGTTTCAGGCTTGGGGTACGTAGTCCTTTCTGCGGAACTTACTTTGTTGGGGGTCTTGGGCTTTCTCGCGCCGTAGATACGTGGTTTGTAGGGCATCGGGACTCGGCATAGGCTCTGCCTAGTCCGAAGTAGATCTGACTCTTGACCGTATCTTTCGGGTTTGGGTTCGGTCTTGAAGGCCTAGGATTGAAGCTTTAGAACATTTATTGGACGAAAGCATCATTACGTCTGTTCTGCAAATTCACAGATTCGTCGCGAGAAAATGCAGCTAGTCTAGTCTCAAGAAGCTACATGGCCAAACGGCCACACTGTCGGGGACAAAAACCCTAACTCAAAGCGGTTTAGGGTCTACGCTAAAGCGTAAGCTGTCTGAGGGTAGAGTGGCCGCTTCTGTCAGGACATGTCTGAGACTTGGACAATCTTCTCCTGCTCGACCAGAAACCGGTGGAGATACTCCTGTCTCGCATGCTATAAGGCCCTACTAATTTCAACAAGGTCTTGAGGACTATAAGGGGATAATACTAACGTTCAAAACCCCCCTGTTGGCTCTGCTGCAGCCTGTGGCCTGGGATCAATGGTAGCACCCAAGCCGACAATCTGGACCTCACAAAGATAGCAAACCACTATGGTAGAATTGCGACCACTCCTACAATGCCCAAAACGGCTCAGAGGTCTCTACCTTCCTCCACATCTCATCTGCCTTGTCATGGCAGCTATCACTGAAATGACTGGACACTCTCTCGTGCCAGCTTCAAAAAAAGGTTTCACCTGTGCCCAGCGAGTGCAAAGGCCCACTGCTCCGTCGAACCGGAGGAGAACTCGACGTTCTCAGAGACGTCTCCCTCAGGACCTCGGAGGGTCTTTATGGTTTCGGGAAGAGCCTGGCTCCTTTTCTCTCGAAATTTTGGCATCGCCATCGTTTCATTTGCCTTTTCTGGTCGTATCACTTGCACGTGGCTCACACAACTGTCTGCATAGCCGGCGAGTCAAGGAAGTGTTTGATCCTTCCTCGTCGCCTACGCCAGACACACCCGAGAAGCCCTGAAGCAAAGTCGATGATAGAGCTCGTCTTGAAGCTCCACTACAGGCCTGAGCCACGGGCTAATGTTCGGATACTGGAACATGCGCACATTGCCCGCGAAGAGCTTGCCGAAGGCCTGCGATTGCAATTGATGCTCGCTTACTCTATGCATGCGTCGTGCGGCGCACGTAATGCGTCTCAGCAAGTCCGTGGAGCGAGCAAACTGCAAGGTTTGCGCGACACGATGCATCTCCAGCCAGCAGCGGAAGAGACTGGGGTATAAGCACGCCCCAAAGTAGAGCTGAAGCCGTTTTCGTATACTACATTGCTATCAACAGCTCTGGCCCCCTTCAACTCACAGCCGGCTGCCTCAAGCATGCCGCCTTTGTAGGTGCTGTAGTTCTTCTCCTAGCAGGTGATATCAAAGCGGTTCCATGTAAGAACTCCTCAGTTGATGCGACGAAACGGCGGTTGCTGTAAAGCTGCTCTCCTGGAATATTCCTCGGCCGATGTCGTAGTTGCCGCCACCAACCTCAGCAGGAGGGATTGTCCAATTCAGTCATTTTCCGATCCACTTAAAGCTTCAGCGTTCCTGAAGACTTCACAAGCGCTTCGGTGAACTCCCCCACCCTGAGCCGACACCTAGAGGCAACATACCTGGAGCATAAAAACGTCTAGAACCTGAAGAAGCGCGCAAGGACCGGATTCCATGATTTCTGGTTTGCAATGGTTTGTAGGGTAGCATTGATTGAGAGCGCTGGGCAGCATGTTGCAAATCCTAGGCAAGCCTCGCGTTCAGCCCACCGCGCCAACTTCTAATTGCTGCAATCTATAAGCTCTGACCTTGAACCTGTCGGGATCATGGTCTGCAGGCCCTGCAGGCTGGTTGGATCTGAAGAGATCTCGTCCCGAAACTGTCAGCGATGTCTTTAAAAGCAATCAACACCCTCCTCTCCTGTGGGTCTCTGACCGCCAGCACAATGGGCGCATTGGTGTAGCGCCCGAGGTAGGATGACAGTTGAGAGTCGGACCTGATTGTTGCTAGAATAAAATCTGTTTACAGCTGCTATGACTATTCATGTCGCTTCAAAACTGCCACTCAAGTTTAATGTTACACTATCGTTATTCGGCTGGTTCCTGCTTCGAAGGGTGCGCTGTCTCTCTGCTTCCTACAAAAGCAGTCGCATTGGCTCTTCTGCCCATGCAATGATCGGGTGCCACTGACGTGCAGCAATCGAAATAGTCGTGGTAGCCCTCGCACGTAGCTATGGCGGTGATTGGCCGGGCTTCTCTGCGGCGACTGCCTGGGCGCCCCGACCCAACACCAGACACCTGAGATGCTGGCTGGTCCATCATACCACCATAACAACTACGAAGTTAGCTGGCCAAGCAGTGATAACTTCTGTTGTGACATTGCTGTTACTCTGGTGGCACAGGTAAAGCTGTTGTGATTGTCATTCTGTCATGTCTGTTTATTCCCTGAACAGGTTCTAAGCGTTGCGAAGTTGGCAGGATTCCTGTGCTAAGGATTTTTGCCCATATCCGGAACCCGGGCTGCAAAATCTGATAAACCCAAGCTTGCCCCAAACCGTACACCCAGCAGAGTCCAAAGCCCCACCGATGAGACCTCCCCCTGAAAAGGAGCCAAGATGCCAGGACTGGCAGCTTCAAAGCTTGCAACATCCTGCCACGAAGTCGAGCAAACAGAAGGCTTTGCGAAACGTCGGCGCCTCATGCGCATTCCGGAGTATCCCCTGTGTTTAACAGGATCCCGAATACGATGAAAGAAGTGTTCGTTCATCGGTGGATGGCAGAAAGCTAGTGAAGTGAGTCTCAAATCTCACAAACTTAGACCAGCTGAGCAGACCAGCTGCCTTTACAGGAACATCCGTGAATGTCACTGTACAGAAGCACACGGCCACAGCAACACTACCACCCCTAGCCCCGGCTATGAGCCTATGGGATGAGACATGCCGAAAGCCTGACTCTACTTTGAGGATCATGGGACTTAGTAATGAAGATTATTGTGAACAATGTAGTTGTATTCATGTTGCCTCATAAAGGGTACTTATACCCTGACTTAGTCCCATGATACTAAGAGTGCCTTGCCTGACGATGACAGTAGGTCACTTGACAGGCTAATAGTATTCTCAGAAAGTCTAGTAAACCCGAAAGCCCTAAGCATGCTTCTGAAGAATTCACAATAATCCGCTCTAGCAGTGTTTTGCAATAGACCTCCATAGCCCGATGGCTTTCTTGTATCGACCCTTGGTTTCAAAATTTCGCTCTCCTAAAAATCAAACAACTCCTAAGAACACCCACATGTTAAAGCATCAGAATTCAAGTTCCTGATATCCACACAAGCAGAAGAGAAGCCCAGCAGGGCGCACTTGAACCGATCGAGGAACTCCACGTTGTTCGCACAGCGCTCCCTGGCCGTGGATGTATGTTTGATGATTTTTTCTAAGGCTCTAGGGTTTGTGTTAGGATAGGTATGAATACTTGGATTACCGTTGTGGAAGTTTGGCGTATTTCCGCAGAGGCTTGCCTGGCATACTCCAGGATCCACGCAAAGGCCTTCGGGTCCGGAAGCTTCCAGCAGAAGGCGCCCTGAAAATTGTAAAAAACAAAGTTAGGGGTACCTTATATTGTAAGGATCCTACTATTTAGGGTACTGTATTAGGGTCCTCTAGTTTCGGAAACTCCCATGTCATTCAGTCGCTGGTTCCCAGGAAGAAGAAGTCTGGCATGCGGGTTCTGCGTAAGTCTTGAGGCCTGTAGGAGCTGGGAATGTGGGTGCAACGAACCAACCCTGGAATCATCCGGATGTTGTGTTTCAGAGCAGGGGGTTTAGATTTTACGGAAGAGTGTGGGGCTTTGGGTTTTGGAGTTTGACGGCTTCGGTCTCTGGTGGAGGGTGTCTTGTCATGGGAACCCTAAGGGATACTTTTCGGTAATTCACTGATTCAGGGCCCCCATGTTTAACCCTCTAAAGTTCTGTCGGAACCCTTAGAGAATCTCCTTATGGAATAATGTGGGCAATGATTCAGGCTCTCTGTAACATAAAACTCCGCAGAGGAAGCCGGAGGCGAAGCGAGACGGGCAGGCGTCCATCCCAGGACCTTCGAAGACACAACTTTGGCCGGAAGTATTGGGATTTGGGGAGCAGGGTCTCAGAGCATGTCGATTTCGGGAATGGGGGCTCAGGGTGTACGATTTAGCTTAGAGCTTAGAACTTGAAGGTCCATGTAAGACCTTGCGGATGTAGGGATTTGGGGTCTCTCAAGCTCCCAGGAGTCTTCGGATTTCACTTTGCCCAAAGGCTCCAAGTCTGCACACAGTACCTCCATGCGGTCGACGGTCTATAAGTTTCTTATAAGCTACTTTAGGGTCATTTGGAGTCTCAGGCTTTGGAAAAGATTGCGCTTTACTTCAGCAGGCTTCTTTACATCAAGTCGCCGTCCACAAGATTTTTACATATAACATTATGCAACCATGTAGCAACCACAGAGCAAGAACAAATGGCATGATGACGTACTGCAAAGCTGTCAAGCAGCAGGGAAGGCCTGATCAAGCACGACCTTGCCCCGGCCATCCACGTCCAAGTCCTCTGTCTCAACTAGGGGAGGCTTTTAAAGCAATTGAAAAGTATTAGTAGGTAAGATCCCCTTAAACCCAATAAGAGCAAAAATAAAATGTCCCAAAGCCCAAAGTCAAAATTGCGGGAGCATCGGATAGTCAGTCTCCATGGTTCGCAGTGATATTCGTAGTGCGCGAGTAGATCACAGAATCCCATCAGATTGAAACCCGGGGCCATGTCACGAAGCAAGAATTATTTCAGTTACCCTGAACTCGCGGCATAGTGGCCACTCCAGGAAGTACGGGCCATAAAGCTGTGCCCATTGAAAGTGGGAATCCCTCCTGGCCCTACTGTCTGTCCAATTGCTCTACGCTTTAGCACTGCACGGTGCAGACAAGCTCGAACTTGCTGGCTTCCACTGCGTGCTGTTCTATGACTTGATCTGGCTCATCCCAGGCCAAGGCCGAATCACTTCATTATGTTCCTTGTTGTCGTTCTATCTTGCCGTCTTTCTGTCATAGCTGACCTGGTGTTGTGCCGTGGCTTCCTTCTTTGCTACTGCAAGAGTCTCGGCACCTTCGCAAGCTGCAGGGCTTCATCCTCGGGAAGCCTCAGTGATGGAAAGATGCTCATAACTCGATAACTCGAGACCGACCCCTGTTTTATAACCCTAAACCCTAAATAGCATCGGTTCAGGTGATGGCCCTTGCCTTTCAGCTCCAAGTAGATGACAACAGGGCTGCTGCTACCACTGCTACAAGTGAGGCTGTGCGTAGCATTGCGTAGCTGTACGATGGGATGATGAAGACGATTATGAAGATGAAGAGGAACGTGAAGACGATGAGCTTGACCATAGTGACAGTTGCGACGCGAGGCGATGTCTCGTGTTTGTGCAATGCATCACGAGCCAGCAAGCGTCGCAAGCGAAGGTCGAGGGCTGGTTCTGGGCTGCTCCAGGCTCAAGGTGATCCAGAACAGTTTCTGCCTGTGGCCCACACTTCTTGGCGAAGACCTTCGCTAAGTTGTCCTGCCCAGAAATGGCGAGATTCATGAGGCATGCTTGCAGCCAGTGTCACTCATCAGAATGGAGACGTTCATTTCGCTCTTGTTTGCCGCACTGCTTCCTTTGATTGTGTTGGCTGGGGCTCTTCTGTCTGTGCGGGTTGGGCAGCGGCCCGAACACAGCACCTGGATGCCACCAACATAACCCACGATGAACTGAGATTCGAGACGCTCGTATTGCACACGAAGACATCAAACAATGGAGTGAGGTTTTGGGGTCAGACAGTTATAATCCAAAGAACACTGATTGATCCCCAGGAGCCTTATTTTCAGTTATTCGAGCCCCTATGTTCGGGATCGGGACCTGAACGCTAATTACGCGCTAACGACCCGGCCACGGTGAGTATGCCATCGCCGTCCACATCTGCCTGGCGAGGCTCCAGCGCTTTCGGGATCCAGTCTCGATGGAGTCCATAGGTAGAAGCCGACTCTGCAATGAAGGGGCCGTAATGAAATGGTAGGGAGTACATATACACATGTGTATACATATATATATATATATATATATATACAAATATACATATACATATACATATATATATATATAATATACACACACACTGTACCATAACTACGTCAAGGAGCCCTATGGAGTAGTGTTAAAAAATGTTCTTTTGGCGCATAAACTTGTGAGAGTCTTCGAAGCCGTTCCTCAGCCATGATTCGCACTGTCGGGCCAAGGGTCTTGGTTGCCTGGAGTCGTAGGGAGGCAATGATGGAGGCAGAAACAGCACTGTTGGAAGTGCTCTCATAACTAGCCAACTCCCGAATGATGTGGGCTAGATCCATTTCCAGCTTATGGACTTCAACTAGGGATTATGATCACTTGAAGACTGGCACTCGGCTTGCAGCCATGGGCACAACATGGCCGGCGGTGTGATTTCAAGCAATCATCAAGACACGAAGCCTCAAAGCAGGCCCCGAAAGCAAAGCCTGCATCCGATGGGCCCAATGGACTTACCAGGACGAGGCCTCAACTGCCGCGCGGGTACGGCGCAGCCTTCGACCACGCAGGCGCTACAATTCGGTACTGTAGAAGCCTTTATAATTGAAATGGAGTTTTGGTGTACAGTATTATACCAAAAGTACAGTATTACACCAAAACTAGAATAAGAAAGCACCTAAATAGTATGGGTGATTATTACGGCCCCGGCATTATGCCAATGGACGGCTCTTGCTTGTGTCTCTCCGGACTTTGTTTGCATCTTGGCCTCTGTGGGCTCTGGGAGAAGCTAGGAATCTCAAATCATGTCTTCGTAAGTTGAAGACTCCAGGCTCGTTGACTCCGAAAGCAGGAAGCGTGCCATGCAACCGCCTGAAACCAGAAAGAGCTGGAACCTCCAGTGCCGGGGTGGCTCTCGCGAGAATCCGAATCCTCCAGTCTATCCCACCGATGAAGAGAATTTCGCAGGGGCAGTTCGTACAGAGACTGGAAAGGGCGCTGGACCCAGGCTGGACAGGTGACCTGACAGGTGTAGCAATTCAACCCGTTGCCGCTCCTTGCAGAGACCGGCTTATCCCTGAAGTTAAAAATAAGTCCCGTGCAGAATCCGCGCATCGTGCCTTCCCTCGGTGCCGAGGTAGTCGCGCGGCCGCACGATGTCATCGATTTGGAAATCAAGGATCTGTCGCGAGAGAATACCCAAGACATGCCAAGACACTACAGCAGTTCTGTTAGCAAAACCAGCCGCATGACGGAGCGATTCTTTGCCACCCCTCTATTGGGCTGCAGTCCCGCTGGCACAGTGGGAGCATCAAGTTCCCACATGCCCGTCCTACTTTCGCGGAGCTGGGAGCTACCAAGCGTTGCTCCCATGCTCTGCAACTTGGCAGAGCTCAACTCCAGTTGAAGCTGCAATGGCGGTTTGCAACATTCTGTTGCACCAAGATCTCTGTGTGTGTATGTGTATACATATAGTACAGTCTAGAAATCTACCGACACACATACACATATATATATATATATATATATATATATATGTATATACACATACCACTATACACGTAATATAACACCTTTCCTATCCGCGCATCACCTCAAAACGGCAAAAACACTATGCAACACATGGCGACCTCTAAAGAAAATGGTGCCAAGTTTTTGCGTTAGGGCCCACTTTACGGCCACTGATGTCTGACGTTGGCTCTAACTGTAACCCTCCTTGCCTCCTCTGTGACCTTGAGACTGGCAGCAGCACCAAGTATACAATGAATGCAACTAGACACCCCAAACCTTACTCGATTGAGTCAGACCTTTCACCGGGACAAACTCACAGTCGGCAAGGGGCTGTTAAATGGAGGGCCTCGTGCCCTCGCGAATTCACGGAGCTTCTCCGGCACGTGAAAACTAAGGACTTGGCTGCAGGCTTAGATGCTCGGAGGAGTAGGCATAGGCCATCAGCAAGCCGTTTCAGCTATCCTGAGAGCCCTTCTAGAACCTCACTACGGCAACAGCTACCACGTCTCCACGACCACAATCGTCACCACACCAGCAACTGATCAAACATCGGAGGAACTGAAACAGCGTGAACATGGTAATAGTGGCTTACAACAGAGATGTCGTCCTAGCGGCAGCAGACGGAGTAGCAGTAGTAGTAGTAGTAGTAGTAGTAGTAGTAGTAGTAGTAGTAGTAGTAGTAGTAGTAGTAGTAGTAGTAGTAGTAGTAGTAGTAGTAGTAGTAGTAGTAGTAGTAGTAGTAGTAGTAGTAGTAGTAGTAGTAGTAGTAGTAGTAGTAGTAGTAGTAGTAGTAGTAGTAGTAGTAGTAGTAGTAGTAGTAGTAGTAGTAGTAGTAGTAGTAGTAGTAGTAGTAGTAGTAGTCGTAGTCGTAGTAGTAGTAGTAGTAGTAGTAGTAGTAGTAGTAGTAGTAGTAGTAGTAATAGTAGTAGTAGTAGTAGTAGTAGTAGTAGTAGTAGTAGTAGTAGTAGTAGTAGTAGTATAGTAGTAGCAGCAACACCAGTAGCAGTAGGAGCAGAAGAAGGAGGAGATGAAGTAGTAGGTAGTGCTGTGGAGAGAGGTGGGGAACGCAGGGCCCTGTAAAGACCTCCCACTGCTTCGAATTGACGTGGTACGCAGGCTTGAAACACCTGTGGCGCCACAATAATTAGCACAAACGCTCGATGTTTTCTTGCTGACATATCTTACTTGCGCGTCTTCTCGCAGATCTACGTGCCTGGGGAAGCCTTACAAATCTGTGAATGCACCCAGCATTGCTGAGGTGCAGCGGCAAAACTTAAGATCCTGAAGCTGGGCTTCATCCAAGACATGAAGCCCATGACCTGAACACCAACAATTCTACAACCCTCCATGTTGTCTACCAGTCCGAAACTTCGAGCTGCACGATGGAAATTAATAGAAACCTGCCGATGCTGAGCCGTAGCTTCGCAATAACTCTGGGCTAGGCCCGAGACACTAGGATGTGCAGTGCCTACTTCGGCATTTCTGCTCTGATCTTAAGCTGGTGCATTCCGGAGAAATCAGCTCAACTGTACATTGCTATTGCTGTTCAGGCTGTCCTGGAGACAGGCAGCCAACCCTTGCAACGCGAGTGCCATCTGCTTCCTTTGGGGTACAACGGGCGACATTCTGCTAAAGCCTTCCTCATGCCCTCGGGTCCCTGTGCAAGCTTTTATTCGAAAGTCTGGCACAAGGGCATGAAAAGATTGGGAATACGGTTTGGGCGCATATTATGGTATGACGATACGGAGCCCTAAGGAATGATACTAGTACTTGTACAGGCTCCTCGAGTACCCAGAAAGGAGCCCTGATAGAACCCTTTCAGTAACCCGTTCAGTAACCCTTACAGAAACCCGTGCAAGAACCCCCAAAAGAACTCTACTCAGGCTTCTCTATCAGGGCGGAGAGGTTTTAACTTTGGAATCCCCCATCTCCTCGATGGCGATTGGGATGGAGAACAAGCAGAAGGCCGAACAAATGCCAAAGACGGTGAAGAGAGACCACCTCAGGGAGAGCTCAGCTTGTAGTACCCGGTGATGATCGCGGCAACCACTAAGTCAGCAACTACGGCTTACTTGTCCACGTTGCTTGGTAAAACGACGCCAACTACGACGCCAAGGCGGCTGGGATGGATGCGAAGATGGCAAAGCAGCAGAAAAAAACAATGTGTAGTGCTGTTTGACAGTGGCAGTCGTGATGGCAGTTGTACCTAACCTTCGACATCGTGGTTGTCTTTGTTCTCTCCGTTGTACTAGCAGTCGCTGAAATCTCAAAAGTTTCATCAATAGCAGTAACAAATGTGGCGGGCAGGCAAAGATCACAGTGTGGGCAGCAATGTTGGTGCCAACACTTGTGGATAATGTGGGTGATGGTGAGGGACGTATTAGCGGGAAGCAAGGGACGGAGCGTATCCCATTGCATGCAGCTCGGGCATGGGTGCTTCAGGTTCCGAAGGCTTGCAAGGGCTGAGCTCATGTTGTGTTCTCTTGAAGTGTCAGGTCCATCAAGGCAGACGAATAAGTTCCCGAGATCGCAGCAGCCTTCCCCACACAGCTTTCATGCATCGGTTTTTTCCTGGTATGAAAGCAGTGACCAGCCAGTCCCAAGCACTGTCATTTCCCAGAACCCACCGAGATCTCGAAACACTCTCAGGCCCCCGCTTGTAACAGGTGGACAACCTGTGTCCCTCAGGGAGGTGGTAGGAAGCCAGGTACCTGTTTGAAGCAACTTGTGAAGGTGATTACAATGACTAGCTGAGGCTTCTTCGAGAACTACGAGCCGTGGCAGGCCAAAGTCATGCTCATGACTGAGACACGGGGTCGAAGACTTCGCTCTGGATTGCTTCAGGACAGCGTTGCTTTTGACAGCATGCAGGGAAACTGGTCAGAACTCTGAACCGGGGCACCACAGTGCGAAGACCACGGGCGGCATGAGAAGACCGTTGATGAACTGGGTCCATACCTCTCTGAGACATCGCAACCCCCTCCTCTCCAGGCCCTGAAGCACTCAAGAACCAAACCAGCGAGGCAAGACGGCCTGAAACTTACACCGGAGGCCCTTCAATGAGATCCATCGTGCCTTGTGTAGGGATGGCGTGACTTGAAAGTCAAGGTGGGATGAAGGTTTCATTCTACGGCTTTAGTGTCGAGGCCTTGACACAAAAAGGTATGGTTTGTTGAGCACATTGCAATAATAAGTAACAATGTTAAATATTCATAATTATGTAATACTTCTACATAAGCGGCTTAGCAGAGCTGTGCAGAGCTGTGCCACATGCAGAGATCCCTCATTCGATCTCCTTCTCCGTCTACGGGTCGTGCACGTATGCATCAACACTCTTGGGGTATTCTGTCATGCAACAAGAATGCCTGCACACAGTTCTCAACCGTGCACCAAAAGTTCATGGGCACTGCAACAAGATGTGCAAAGCACAAGCCACCTGAAAAAAACAACAAACACAAGGAAGCTTCACTCCACAATTGCATATACATATATACACATAAATCATATATGTGTAGATATATTCATCAAGACATCTATGTATCGATGCATCCATGCATCCATGCCTCCATGCCTCAATGCCTCTATCCCTCCATCCGTCCATCCGTCCACCCCTCCACCCCTCCCTCCATCCATCCATGCATTCATCCATCCATGTGTTGCAGCACGTATGTTTATTCGCTGACATACATACAGACATGCACGGACATATTGTTGCTGATGTTGTTGTTGTTGCTGTTGCTGCTGTTGGTGTTGTGGTTGTTGTTGTTGTTGTTGTTGCTCTTCTTCTTGTTGTTGCTCTGTTGGTGTTGCTTCTGCTGCTGTTGCCCAGCTGCTGCAATTGCTGCTGCTGTTGTTGTTGCTGTTGTTGTTGTTGTTGTTATCCTGGCTATTACCTGTGCAC